GCAAAAATTCTCAATAAAATTTTAGCTATCAGAATCCACCATTGTATCCATAAGATAATTCACCACGACCAAGTAGGATTCATTCCAGGGACACAAGGATTGTTTAACATCCGAAAATCAATCAATGTTATCCAATACATCAACAAAAAGAAATATAAAAACCATATGATAATATCAATAGATGCTGAGAAAGCTTTCGACAAAGTGCAACATTCATTCATGATAGAAGTCCTTGAAATTCTTGGGATACAAGGAATATACCTCAACATCGTAAAGGCCATCTATGACAAGCCAACAGCCAGTATCATTCTCAATGGTGAAAAGCTGAAAGCAATTCCATTAAGATCTGGAACAAGACAAGGATGTCCACTCTCACCACTGCTTTTTAATATAATACTGGAAGTCCTAGCCAGAGCAATAAGACAAGAGAAAGACATCCAAGGAATCCAAATAGGAAAAGAAGAAGTGAAACTATCACTATTTGCAGATGATATGATAATATACATTGAGAACCCCAAAAACTGCACAGAAAAACTAATTCAACCCATCAATCAATTCAGTAAAGTGGCAGGATACTAAATCGACATGCAAAAGTCAGTAGCCTTCCTATACACAAACAATAACTCTGAAGAAGATGAAATAAAAAAAAAATCCCTTTTATTATCAAAACAAAAAAAAATCCAATATTTGGGAATAAATCTAACAAAAGAGGTAAAGGACCTATACAAAGAAAACTATAAAACACTGTTAAAAGAAATATAAGAAGACACAAAGAAATGGAAAGACATCCCCTGCTCATGGACTGGAAGAATAAATATTATTAAAGTGGCCATCCTACCAAAAGCAATATACAGATTCAATGCTATTCCAATCAAAATTTCAATGTCATTCTTCAAAGAAATAGAACAATTATTGATGAAATTCATATGGAATCACAAAAAAACCCGAATAGCCAAAGCTCTCCTGAAACAAAAAGAAGGAAATGGAGGCATCATACTCCCAGACTTCAAATGATACTACAAAGCCATAATCATCAAAACTGCATGGTATTGGAACAAGAACAGACATACAGACCAATGGAATCGAATAGAAAATCCAGAAATAAACGCACAGATTTATGGTCAACTAATCCTTGACAAAGGAGCAAAGACTATGCAATGGAGCAAAGAAAGTTTGTTCAATAAATGGTGTTGGGAAAACTGGGTTGCTACATGCAAAAGAATGAAGCTTGACCACTACCTCACACCATACACAAAAATCAACTGAAAATAGATTAAAGAACTAGACATAAGACCTGAAACCATAAAATGCATAGAAGGAAATATAGGCGAAACACTACGTGATTTGCATATCAAATACATGTTTACAGACACATCACCCAAAGCAGTGATAGTGAAGGCAAAGATAAACAGCTGGGACTACATCAAATTAAAGAGCTTCTGCACAGCAAAAGAGACAATAACAAAAACAAAGAGAAACCCCACCAACTGGGAGAACATTTTTGCACCCAACACTAATGATAAAGGACTGATCACAAAAATCTGCAAAGAGCTGATGAGACTCAGCAACAACAAAGAAAATAATCCAGTCAAAAAATGGGCAGAAGAGCTAAAAATAAACTTCTCTGAAGATGAAATGCAAATGGCCAACAGACATATGAAAAATGATCAACATCACTTGTAATCAGGGAAATGCAAATCAAAACTACCATGAGATACCATCTTACACCAGTGAATGGCACATATTAAAAAAACTAGCAACAGCAAATATTGGCGAGGTTGTGGAGAAAAACCTACACTGTTTGTGATAGGATCCTACACTGTTGGTGGGAGTGCAAACTGGTCCAACCACTATGGAGAGCTGTGTGGAGATTTCTGGACCTACTAAACATGGAGCTTCCATATGATCCAGCAATTCCACTCCTAGGTATTTACCCAAAGGACACAGAAACATCAATTCCAAAGAGCACCTGCACCCCTATGTTTATAGCAGCACTATTTACAATAGCTAAGCTTTGGAAACAGCCCAAATGCCCAAAAACAGATGACTGGATCAAGAAGATGTGGTACATATATACCATGGAATATTACTCATCATTCAAAAAAATAAATACATGCAATTTGCAGCAAGATGGATGGCGCTGGCAGGGATCATGCTCTGCGAAATAAGCCAGGAAGAAAAAGAAAAATACCACATGGTCTCACTCATAGCAGGAATCTAGAAAACTTAAATAAGGGACCAGGAAAATGAATAACTATAAAAAAGTGAAAATCAAAATCAACAAAAAACTATGAACCAGAGACACTTTTTGGGGGTTGGGGGGCGGGAGGGGAAGGATTGGGGTCAGAATGGGGGGTTTGCAATTGTATGGGGGAATATAAAAATAAAATTTATTATTAAAAGAAAAACAAAATAAAACAATGTGCAAATAAATATACACATACACATACATAAAACTTTAACCTTAAACATTTATTTTTGCAGTTAACAAAATACGTCCACCCAATTCCTATTGTTTACAATATTCATCTAAAGTGATATTTCTTATCCCATATTACCTTCAGAAAAAAGGAAATTGAGGTTGTGGGAGCATCCATTTTTATTTTATTTTTAAAATATTTATTTATTTATACAAGCACTGGGTACAGTCAGAAGTGTGGGAGGGTGAGAGAATTCACCAGAGCCAGAGCAGAGAGCAGAACAGGCAGATGGATGAAATACACTGCTGAGGGGAGCAGCGGGCAGCACGAGAGGTCTGCGCACCATGTGGGACTCTCACCAGGTAGCCGGGGATCGAACCGGCACTGCAGAGGCTGCAGGCAGATTCTCAACCCAGCGCTCAACTACTGCGCTACCGGGGAGGACCGCATCCATTTTTATAGGTTCACAAAAATGGCATTAGGTCTTACCACACACTGTTAAATTGGGTACAAATGGAAACATACACATGTTCTGTGGCTTTGTCTGGCTTTCTCTATTCATCAAACAGTACATCTTAAATATGTACAACTAACAGTATACATGTATACTCTAATGAATTACTTAGGAGGAAAATTAAGGTGCCTGGATCAAAGTATTATGCATGGATAGGTGACTGATTCAAAGTCATCAGTGGTGGAAGCTATCACTTCTACTTGAGAACAAAGGAAATTGTCAGATGTGAAATAGAAACCATAGAAATAAATAAGAAATTCACATTTGATACTATTTTTTCTGCAAAACTAGAAGATGAGAGTAGATACATAAATATGGTAAATTGAGCATATATTCCAGGGAGAGACCACCTGGAACAGGCATCATGGTTCAAGACTCAGAAGCACAATGTAGAGACTCAAGCTGTATGTGCAGAGCCCATCTGGGTCAGAGAAGCTCATCACACACTCTTTCTGGTCCTCAAGGCTGATATTAATTCAATTACATGTAGGATGGCCTGTCAATAGCAGCTAACTGATACTATACTCAATCTGAATAGAAGTGAAGAAAGTTATAATAATATGCACTGTATTGGTGTTTTTGGTATTTGTTCTTATACTTATTTCATATGACTGTACTTAAAAATTCTATGTAGTTAATTTCCAGGTAACTAGAAGCATGGTGTTTTTGCAGGAAAACTGGTGACCCTGATTCTATGACCAGAGAGGGATTTAAGTTCTCTCATAGTCATCCTTTCATCATAAAGAAAATGTTAGGATCCAAGCATCTCTGGTTGCACAGGGGTTAAAGTATCAGTGATATCAAGTTATTGACAGCCATTGCAGTGTAAATTTGATCCCCTCCCAGGAAGTTAACCCACATGGCAAAGCAGACATCTTCTGTCTCAACTGCTGCTGCCCTCAGCAGTGTATCTCAGTAGATCTGCCTGTCCTGCTTCCCACTCTGCCGCTGGTGAATTCTCTCACTCCCCAAACTTCTGCCTACCCTCTAGTTCTTGTATGTATAAATAAATAAAATTAATATTAAAAAAATGATAGAACCCCCTGTATAATGGAGATATATAAAGTAAGGTAATGATAATAACATTCACTCGCCAGTCTTTTCCTTATGAAAAAATTAAGAAGAGGGGAGTTGATTCCTTTAGAGATGAGAAAAGAGTCCTAGATTTAACAGCATCAGAAGATTTCAAAAAGGAACATGATGGCATTAATGCAATAACAATATTTTTCAATTCAAATCACTATTAACTCCCTTACACATAGATATGAATCCTCGATATTTGCAGAAGTAAATGTGCCACATGAAATGGGAACATCTTGCAATGTAATATGTGATTTAAGTTTTGTTTCATCATGTTGAAGATTATTTTTGATGCTAAGGTCATATTAGGTGAATATATGTATTAAAATGAGTGTTGGTGAAGACTCATATGTGTATAATCATGTTGGATTGAAGTCATGGAGCCTTGGCGTACACTGAGCTGAAGGAGAACAGGATCCTAAGGAGGAGAATAAAACCCAGTGTGCTATGAAGCCCACTGTATGTTACTATCTTTGTTGTCAGGAGGGTAGTTAAATAGTGAAGAGAAAAGGGTGACACACTCAAAAGTGAAAAGATTTGTTATCGTACTTCCTCTGTTATGAACTTCTATAAGTTTCCTTGGTCATTAGGTGCAGTTTGTTTGCAATAGGAGTAGACTTAATGACTTTTTAATTACAACAAACAAAACAAAAAGTATTTGGTATGTTATATGACTGGGAGAAATTATTCTATGAAATTCATGTTTTCTCATTAAGTGAATGGGAATATCTAATTTTTTTCTGGTTTAAGATTGGAATACATTTGGGAAAGTAGGGAAAACCACAAGGGGAAAGTTGTTAAATTTTAAAAAGAGCTGAAAGTTTAATCAAGTGAGTTACATAAAATAGAGAATTTGAGGTCCAAGAGTAAATTCATGAAGTAAAAAAAGAGCAAGTTCCACTTCTTAGTTTGACCAATTAAGACCAATTTCTGACAATTAGTCTCCGATGTATAAAATTCTGGGTGCTTATTCAGCCCTGGGACAATTATCTTTTTGTAGTTTTCATTACAATGAATGTTGTCAGGGACTTATTTATGTCTTTGCTCCTCAGACTGTAGATGAAGGGGTTCAGCATGGGTGTGACCACACTGTACATCACCGAGGCTATTGTACTTGAGTGTGAGCTCTGGGGAGCAGCAGAGCTAAGGTACATTCCCAGGGCTGTGCAGTAAAATAAGGAGACAACTGAGAGATGAGATGCACAGGTGGAAAATGCTTTATGCTTCCCCTGAGCTGAAGAGATTGTATGTATGGAGGAAACTATCTTAGAGTAAGAATAAAAGATACCAAAGAGAGAACCACCACCAAGTAAGATGGCCTCAAAATATATCACCATGTTGTAGAGAAAGGTGTCAGAACAGGCCAGTTTGAACATCTGATTGAGTTCACAGAAAAAGTGTGAGATTTCCACATTTGTACAGAAGGACAGCCACAACATAATTAAGCTTTGTATTAAGGAATAGAGAGCACTGATGATCCAGGAGATCAGAACCAGCAGTCCACACAGCTGGGGATTCATGATGATCGTGTAGAGTAGGGGGTGGCAGATGGCCACAAAGCGGTCATAGGCCATCACAATCAGGAGGAAGTTGTCCAGTGCTGCAAACAGTATGAAAAAATATGCCTGTGTGATACAACCTTTGTAGGTAATGACTTTACTCTGTGACTGGATGTTCACCAGCATCTTGGGGATGGTGGTGGAGGTGAAACAGATATCAGAAAAGGACAGGTGGGAGAGGAAGAAGTACATGGGCATCTGGAGGTGGCAGTCAGATTTGACAGCCAGTATGATGAGCAGGTTCCCAAACATAGTGATCAGATACATGCTGAGGAGTAGTCCTAATAAGAGGGGCTGGAGTTCTGCTTCCTCTGAAAATCTCAGTAGAAGAAATTCTGAAATTTGTGTATCATTGACAGGTTTCATGTAGTACAAGTGATTTCCAGGAAAAAGGAAAATAACAGGACTTATTTTCAAAAAAATTATTATATTACTAAGCAACTAGAAATGCCTTCATTTATCTTTTTGTAAGAATTTATAATGTCTGTAAGATTTCCTTTAGAAGATTATCAGTGACACCTCTGATAAAGATTTTTCCCCAATCATTTTTTTAACCTGAGGTTCATGTGTTACAGAGTTTTGATAATAAATTGTTTTATATCAATAAATTGAATACTGATGGTGATTTAGGCATTTTCTAGGCAATGACTTGAAACTTTGTAATAAAAAATTGCAATTCAATGGTGGAAAAAAATAGATCAGCAAACAATAAAATTGTAAAACATTTTTGATGGTAATTGTTGGGACCAAGAAAAGGAAACCAATTACAAAATAGAGAGTGAATAAGAAATTTCGTGTTTCTTGGCTATTTCGGTAAGACCTGGAGACCTATAGACATGTTACATTTGAACAAATACCTCTGGTGAGGGAGGGAGTGAGATTCAAGGTTTTATCACATGCTGGACACATCACATGTGTCCAGCAGAGAGAACAATCTGTGCACAGTCCCTGAAAATGTGCTTACTTCAAATATTCAAGTTAAAGTTTGTGAAGCCATCTGCACAGCAAAAGAAAATATCAGTAACACAAAAAACATCCTCCTGAATGGGGGGGGAGAAGCAATAGGAGGAGGAGGATAGAAGGCAGGAGTTTGAGGGGAATAAAAGGGAAATGAAGTGAATAAAAGGAAAAGACTGAATAAGCTAGGTGTCCCTCAGAGACTGGCTTTTTCCACCCTGATTATATTTCCTTGATACCCAGCAAAAATGACAAAAGATTAAAAATAAATTTTGCCCAGGTAAGATATAGTAGTACTTTTATGATCTATTTGGAAAAATATCTTACAGGTTGTACACCCAAGAGAAAATGGGCCATGTTTCTGGGTATCAGCACGAGTGAGAATTGGGTGGGTCTTTCTGTGGTGAAGTCTGTCCTGTGCATTGTAAGGTATTTGGAGCATCCTGGTCTCCCCTGCCCTTGCTGTGAGCCTGAAATGTCTGTGGTCATTGCTCACTGTCCCTGGGGGACAAAATTGCCCACTTACAACCATGATTTATACATAATGTCCATGTATTTTATGAGGTTTGCTATAATAACAATTTACTGATAATACCAATTTAATAATATAAAAATGATTAACATTGTATTTCACCCTGAAATATTACACAACCGTTGACATAATTACCTTCATTATGTAATCAAACAGATGAACAAACTCAATGATCTTTTGCCATTGGTTAAATGTAAATTGCCTCTCAGATGACATCATCTGGCCTCATTTGTCTCTTGACTGTCTACTGGGTTGCTGGGCTCACCTGGACTGGTTCTCCGAGAGGGTCTCGTGTGGAGATCTGAATTCTTTATTGGATGGAGGTGACAGAGACCTGAGTTCTGTACCTAGATGAGACAGCAGGGAGGAGTGACCCATCTGTCCCCTAAGCAGGAATAGGACTCCACACAAACACACACACAACTAAAGCATGCATCTTCCAGCCCAAGGTTGTGTATGCCAGAAGTCAAATGATCTGTTTACAGCTCTAACTGCTCATTAGTCACATTTCCTCATTACTCCAACTTCTATGCACAGGATCTCTCTGTGGAAAACTATTCTGGACAGCTAAGGAAATTTCCCTGTTCCCAAGAGGTTGGGTTAGAAATGAAATTAATTACATTTTCACTCCCCTATGAACTTGCCTCCTTTTCTGATTTCTAAATTTCTAGTACCTTATTCTGATTTCAGATTCGTATTTTCTAGCCAATTCCAAGACTGATGAATGGGTCTGGATTAGGTTGCTCATGTCTTCAAAGCTTTGGCTTGAGCAGGGAACGTAACTCCTGATATCAGGACAGTTGCTGTCATCCTTCACAGCAGGGAATGAACCTGGTATCCTGTGATAATAGAACATAGCAATGAACTCATAAGCTTCATGACCCTTTGCTAAAATTTTAGGAGCTTCATGCTTCTGTCACATCAGTAGCTATAATACAGTCCCTAATTTTAGTGTTTATGAATTTTATTTTATTTTATTTTATTTTTTAATAAACTTTTATTTATTCATACAAGAACCAGGGTACAGGCCAGATGTGCGGGAGGGTGAGAGGATTCACCAGAGACAGAACGGGGAACAGAACAGGCAGACTGATGAAATACACTGTTGAGGGGAGCAGCAGGTGACACAGGAGAGGTCTACTGGCCATGTGGGATTCTCGGCGGCTGGCCGGGATCGAACTGGTGCTGCAGAGGCTGCGGACAGCTTTACAGCGCTGCGCTCAATTGCCTGCGCCACCAGGGGAGACCCTGTTGATGAATTTTATATTACATAGGTCATTTTATCCATTATAATATGACCTTTGAAGTATATAGGGTATATGTGATTTTATTTATTTATTTTTATATTTTATATAATTTATATATTATATAAATAATTTATATTTTATAATTCTTACATCATTTTTCATTTTTGCACAATGAATATCATACTTTTTAATATTTTATTTTACATAATTCTTACATCATTTTTCACTTTTGCACAATGTATGCATTTTCATTTTGGTTATATTCCCCATACACTTCCCACCCCCTTATTTTGGCCCTAATCCCTCTGCTCCTCCCCCCCCATAGTGTGTCTCTGATTTATAGTTACTTGTTGATTTTGATTTTTTCTTTATTATGATTAGTCTTTCTCCTGGTCCCTTATTTAGGTTTTCTAAACTCCTGCTATGAGTGAGACCATCTGGTGTTTTTCTTTCTGTCTTATTTCACTGAGCATGATCCCTTCCAGTTCCATCCATGTTGCTGCAAATTGCATGAGTTTATCTTTTTTGATTGCTGAGTAATATCACATTGTGTATATTTACCACATTTACTTGAGCCAGTCATCTATTTTTGGGCAGTTGGGTTGTTTCCATAGCTTATCTATTGTAAATAGTGCTGCTATAAACAAGGAGTGCAGGTGCCCTTTTGAATTAATATTTCTGTGTCATTTGGGTAAATACCTAGGAGTGGAATTGCTGGATCATATGGAAGCTCTTTATTTAGTAAGTTGAGGAATCTCCACACAGCATTCCATAATGGTTGGATCAGTTTTCACTCCCACAGCAGTGCAAGAGAGTTCATTTTTCTCCACACCCTTGCCAACATTTGTTGTTGCTAGTTGTTTTTTTTTTTTTAATATGTGCCATTCTCATTGGTGTAAGATGGTATCTCATTGTAGTTTTGATTTGCATTTCCCTGATTATAAGTGATGCTGAACATTTTTTCATATGCCTGTTGGCCATTTGCATTTCCTCTTGGAGAAGGTTTTTGGTTTTTTTTTTGTTTTGTTTTTTTAGCTCTTCTGCCCATTTTTTTGACTTAATTATTTATTTTGTTTTTATTGAGTCTCATCAGCTCTTTGTATATTTTTGTGATCAGTCCTTTATCATTAGTGTTGTGTGTAAAAATTTTCTCCGAGTTGGTGGGGTTACTCTTTGTTTTGGTTTTTGTCTCTTTTGCTGTGCAAAAGCTCTTTAATTTGATGTAGTCCCAGCTGTTTATCTTTGCCTTCACTATCACTGCTTTGGGTGATGTGTCTGTAAAGATGTTTTTGAGGTGCATGTCATGTAGTGTTTCACATATATTTTCTTCTGTATATTTTATGGTTTCAGGTCTTATGTCTAGTTCTTTAAGCCATTTTGAGTTGTTTTTTGTGCATGGTGTGAGGTAGTAGTCAAGCTTCATTCTTTTGCACGCAGTTTTGCACAGTTTTCCCAGCACCATTTATTGAACAAACTTTCTTTGCTCCATTGCATATCTTTGCTCCTTTTTCAAAGATTAGTTGACTGTAAATTTGTGGGATAATTTCTTGATTTTCTATTTGGTTCCGTTGGTCCATGTGTCTGCTCTTGTTTCAATATCATGCAGTTTTGATTATTAAGGCTTTGTAGTATAGTTTGAAAACTGGGAGTGTGATGCCTCCATTCCCTTCTTCCTTTTTTTTAGGAGGTTTTGGCTATTTGGGGTCTTTGGTGGCTCCATATGAATTTCATCAATATTTGTTCTATTTCTTTGAAGAATGTCATTGAAATTTTTATTGTAATAGCATTGAATCTGTAAATTGCTTTTGGTAGGATGCCCATTTTGGTAATGTTAATTCTTCCAGTCCATGAGCAGGGGATGTCTTTCCATTTCTTTGCGTCTTCTTCTATTTCTTTTAACAGCATTTTATAGTTTTCCTTGTTAGGCTTATTCCCAGGTATTTGATTTTTTTTTGTTTCAATAATAAAAGGGATGGTTTTTGTTTTTTATCTTCTTCAGATTGATTGTTTGTGTATAGGAAAGCAACTGATTTTTGTGTGTTGATTTTGTATCCCGCCACTTTATTAAACTGATTGATTTGTTGAATTAGTTTTTCTGTGGAGTTTTTGGGATTATCTATGTATATTATCATATCATCTGCAAATAGGGATAGTTTGACTTCTACTTCCCCATTTGGATTCCTGGCATGTCTTTCTCTTGTCTTATTGCTCTGGCTAAACTTCCAGTATTGATTGAAAAGCAGTGGTGAGAGTGGACATCCTTGTATTGTTCCAGATCTTAAGGGAAATGCTTTCAGATTTTCACCACTGAGAATGATACTAGCTATGGGCTTGTCATATATGTCCTTTATGATGTTGAGGTATGTCCCTTGTATCCCGAGGATCTCAAGAGCCTTTATCAAATATGGGTGTTGTACTTTGTCAATAGCTTTCTCAGCATCAATTTATATTATCACATGGTTTTTATTTTTCTTTTTGTTGATGTGTTGGATTACATTGATTTTTGGACGTCGAACCATCCTTGTGTCCCTGGAATAAATCCTACTTGGTCATGGTGAATTTTCTAATGGATACATTGTTAGATTCTGAGAGCTAAAATTTTATTGAGGAGTTTTGCATCAGTTTCATTG